AATGTAAAAAATGGACTCAACAAGACCAGTCAACCAGGTCCCTTGCTTTGGTGATCTGTTGATTGTTCTCGTACCAAGTGAACTTCAACATTGTATGATTTTACACATTATTAACATTCACTAGAAATAAATATTTGTGCTAAAAAGACCAATACTGGCATGTTTTCTTCTCTTGAAAGGCATAACACAGCCTTTTTCACACTTCAGTCCATAATCTTGTATTCAAAGTGGCTCAGATACAAGTCTTCAGTTCCTTTGGTAGTGCAGTATGAGGCATACCAAGTTCCAGTGGTATTTTTGAAGCATATTTTAGATCACTCGCCAAAACAATGCACCTCATAGAAGTCTTGCTATTGTTAAGTGAATGTTCGCCATTCGGTTTGGCCAAAATCATAATAAATTTGCATATTGTTGATAGAAAATGGCGTTAGTATCTAACTTTTGCAAAAGCGGCGCAAGACGCATTTGGTAGCACTATTTTTTTCCTTCACGAGAAAAACTTCATCGAAATTTGCAGGCCTCATCTAAAAGGCAAAATTAATGCTTGGTTCGTTCGAATTCGACCTATTGAGGCCCGGTTTTGGGAAAATCAAACCTCACTGAGTCAAAAAGTATGTTTTTTATAATATTTTAGTCCTTAACCTAGTCGTCAGCCCAGCTCAAAACTCGGCATCATTTGTATAGATCGTTATGGGGTGAAGGGATTTTTGCCGCCCGCGTGACGTCACGGTAAAGGAATTCTGAGGCTCGTGAACGGGGGCTGTGTTTCAACGGCTCCTTCATATTCCCTTCATCAGCATAAGCCAGATTTAGGCTAACTTGCAATTAAACGATCAAAAATGTTAGCTTAAGTTTCGTTAGGGTAAATTAAACGGTGTTTTATTTGGTTAGGCTAAGCCCGAAAAACGGGTATATATGATATCCCTTCAGCAATGTTTAAAACAGAATAAATGGATATCTGGGCTAGTTTTTTTTTTCAAATGGACTTAACACACATCGACCAATCAACACTTGAGCATGAACATTTAGGGCATTTCTAAGCAATAAGTCAGCCGTTCGTTATAAAATCTTTATAAATGGAACAGTACGTATTTGTCATTTGTCAGTCAGGCTTATATGCAATGCGGGACAGATTAAGTATATCGAGTGACAAGTGTTGCTGAGCGCTTACGAAGGCCTTAAAATTAAATTTTCATATTAAATACATATTAAATATATCATGAATATTTAATTTAAGGCCTTTCTAAACGTTCAGCAACATTAAATGCAATACGTTTATCTAACCGGCGAGCGATACCAATCAATGCAGCCGACATATTTTGATTTGGACTTTGGTTTTAAATTGCCTACGACGTCATTTTGGTCAGCAAGAAAAAAAACAATGTGTCCCCTTCGCGTTTTTTTTTTTTTGCTTGCAATGTGTTACCTACAACACACAGCTGAATTTAATATGTTCAATGAATTCATTGAAGTCATTTCCATCAATGCACCATACCATTACAACCTAGCACGCCTACGTTGGTCAACGGGCACTTTACAAAAACTTCAATGAATTCGCCTATTCAAAGACGAGCTCTCTATCGGCGCATCCGGAATAAACAAACGGTCCTCATGGCGGAACCTGACGGACACTATGCACATCTGTCACTATGTCATCTGTCTCTCTCATGAGGGCAAGGTTTCGCCAATTTATGAGGCCTATCTCATTTCGAGCCCCAGGGCAATACCGTTCACCTGACTTACGAGTAGAATGAGCGCAAGGTGTTGTTTACATGTTTGGTGTGGGACTTACGCCCAAAGAAACATGGTGACTTCCCGGCCTCAGCCGAACCATACGCTGAGTGTGCAGGCTGAGGCCGGTCTCGTCCAGTGAACACTTACCGGCCGCCCAGTGTGCTTGTTCCATCATCCACTCGGTTATATGCCGAGGGAAATGGCAAGGATTGGGCCCCATGAGCTGCTCCATGCCCCCTGCGGCCGCCAGTGCACGGATTAATTGTGGCGCGATTAATTGTTTCGATCATTGCTGATCTGTTTTTCTGAATGCTGAAATATGCATAGACGGTTTTGGCCAATCATGAATTCCCGGCTGCTCAATGACGAATAGTTTCGACCATTGACGATTTGTTTTGCACAATGTTGAACCATTCGCTCAATGTCGAGTTGTAGAGGAGTCGCCAAATAGTTTTGCACAATGGTGATTCTTTGTGACCAACCGCCCATTTGAAGCGCCATCTATATGGCGAATGTGTACAAATGTTTTGCCCAAGCCCCAATGGTCAAAAGCTAACGCAAAAAGGTGTACTACTGTTATCTGTGCTATACTCTGTTCCGTTTCAAGCTTGCAGCCGAAGTGCCCTGCTGAAAGCAGTGCGTAATTTCAGTAGGTATATACAGCTTTTACATTTTAAGACGCAAATTCTTGAGCGGAGGAGCGATCTGCCGAAGAAACTCCGACTGCAAGCTTGATATGAAACAGAAAATAGCTCCATTATTTTAATCTTTATATCGATAAGTGCGTTTTTCTACTCTACTAATTTATGGCTTGTTCTGCTGAATATGCTAACGCGAGAAGTCATTTTTAGAAGCGCTGCTTCGTAATCGCCCTCAATATAGGATTTCTCCAGCGACTACCGAGTGTGGGAGGTGCGTGACACATTGATTGTTGCATGCATGTTTTTTTTTTTTAGTTAACTCATGACTGACCTCTGGGTAATGTCGGACACGCGTCCGGCATTATCTCGAATCATACGTATGAAATCATACCTATGAAACGTTTTTGCAACATATCTAGCATGCTATGGTTGCATGCGAAATATAATATAGGTACAATGCAAGGTAAAGCAATCATTTATACAAGGTGTTATGCTTTTAGACGTCTCGTAAGTATGTCAAGAAAACAGACATGGCCCTGTGGTCTTCAGAAGCGATAACAAACGCGAAGGCCTTGGAGAGAGGCAGAGATCCGTTCGTGGGGCCACTGAACTGTTTGCTGCTGAATACAAGCGCCGTTTCAGAATTTTTGCTGTAATTTCTGGGCTGGCCACTGCTATTGTTTCTCGTCCGGCATTACCCCATGCTTTTTTGCACGTAAAATTGAAACTACTTTTTTCGTTAGGCTCTCAACGTCATCGGCGGCAGAACGGGGAGGGCACCGGGGCACCGTGCCCCCTTTTGATTTTGGCATTTTAACATTAGCCCTATGGGCGTTGCATGGAAAGAATGGGACCAAAAGTCGGCGGTGCCCCCCTTAATCGAAGGTGTTCCGCCGCTACTGCTCAACGTCTCATTGATTATCTGCCGCACTAAAGCAGGATGCCATCTCAAGGTCTGTTTCGTTGGCTTTCAAATGGAACAAAAACATGGTTAAACTTTACTAAATAGTTGATTTATGGTGGAAAGTGCTTTGGTGTCGCCATTACCCGCCTCCCCTATAGATGTGGCCCGTGGATAGTCATCTGAATGGATGATGCCCTGTGACGTCACGAGAGTTCTTAGTTCTTTTTTCAACACAAGGTGTCAAATAGATGTAGTCGAAGGTACTTAAAGTTTCACGTTGATGCGTCCAGCGGTTTAGTAGTTATTGGAGAAAAACGAGAAGGGGGCTATGAATAGTCCCTCCCCCCCCCGCCCTGCAAGTGGGGCGCAGGATAACTCATGAACTTAGACGCCCGAGGACCTATTTGTTTTTAGGAGATGAATAAAAGTGATGCTCAGAGAGGTACTGTAAACGGTGAGTCCAAAGTTATCTGTTGTATTTGAGATACCTGCGAAAAGCCACAGACGAGGGCCCTTTGCCCCCCCCCCCTCCCCTCTTCAACGGGCCACGGGTTATATGACCGACCGTGCGAGGTATTCCTGTTGTCTAACTATAAACACGGCTATTGATTGTTGTGTCGGCAGTCTTCCCGGAGCCGGTATGGACGAGACGACAATCGAGGATGACATCAAGCGGCTCAAGATCACCGTTGTCGGCGACGGAAACGTTGGCAAGACCTGCCTGCTGTACGTCTTCAAGAACGGCAGCTTTCCCGACAGCGACCAATACGTCCCCACAATGTGAGTGCCGTGGGCGTAACTGCCTGTACAGACGGGGCGGAATGTCCGAGCCAGTTTTTACGGACGTCAAAGGCGCCTCCCCCTTCTCTGATCTCATTTAATAGGTATCTAGTATATTTGCCAGAAACGGAGTACCACCCCTGAGAAACGGTGCATAAACGACACTCGCTTCCCAGGTGCCCCTTTTTCGTATGGAGGCGCCCCTGTCAGCTTCATAGGCGCACGTCTTTCCCATGAAGGTGCCCCTATGGGCACCACAGGTGCCCCTGTTTCGCATTGAGACGCCCTTACGGGCTACATTGTCGTCCCTCTTTCTATGGGCCTCAGATATTGGCCTCAGAGACGTCGCTCTTGCTCATACAGACTCTTTGGCATTCCCTATGGCCTTCAAAGACGCCCCTCTTTTGCAACTTAGTGCCCCTATATTAAGCCTCAGAGGCGCCCCTTTAGACCTCATAGGCACCACTCTTTCTCATGCAGACACCCCTGCAGGCCTCACGGCCCATTAGCCGATAGTGCGCCCTTGGGAACGGCGACCCTATGACAGTTTGTTCGCACCACTCTGTCTTACTTTGAGGTCAGGTTAGCTGGATTTTCATTTTTTGGTATATTGTTAGACTGATGAGGGTGTTGTAAAAGTGAAACATTTTGGACTGTGCAGAGGTATGTTATGACCTCATAAGTAGTACCCGAATCTGACCTGACCTGACCCGAAAATGCGGTTGGTGTCACAAGAATAAGAGGTTGAATAAGAGGTCAACTATCGGTAAGCCAGTTGCAGTGTTCGCTAATGCTGAAATCGTCCACACAATGATGCTCCCGGAGATAATTATATCTATGACCACGTGAATGATGCAACAAACACAGCGGGCTTGCCACGCGCTCCGTTGACCATCCGACAGATCGCAATGGGGTGATGGTCGCCTGATGACCGCCTGATGATGACGATGGTCGCCTCCGTTGACCTTCTGTCGCGGCTGACCACAGGGTCGCTCGACGGCTGTGACAGGCTGGCCGTCCCCGACCGTCAGCGCGGCCAGGATACACGTGACATTTGCAGGGTGACCGTCACGTCAGCGCAGCTCACCGGTGACACCGTCCGTCACACCCGCGTGGCGAACGAGCTGACCGGGCCGTACTGGCACCTCACTGTTCCCCGCGCGATCGGAGCGGCTGAACATGGCGTGCCCGAGACTGCCCCCATCGCTGCTGCTGCCACTGCTGCTGCTGCTGCTGCCCAGGCCTCCGGTGCCGTCTCCTACGCGATCAGAGGCAAGCTGCTGGTGGCGCCGAAGGTTTGGCGAGCTGGATCCGAGGAGAGGGTCTGCGTCACCGCGTTCGACATCGACTTCCGGAAGACGGAGGAACGACGAAAGAGGATCGGTTTCAGTCGTGTTGGCCGTGGGGACCTGCTCCGAGACATTAACTTGGATAAAGCGATCAGAAACACTGAATTTAGTACCGCGATCAAAGACAATAAAATTGATAACAAGTTCAAAGCCACGCAAGACCAGCTATCCGATCATCCGCGTGAAGAGGCCCGGCTTCCACTGCGGCTTACCCGCAGTAGACGCCAGGCAGCCGATAGGAAGCCAGCACGGTCGACCATCAGCAGTGCTCCCTCCTCGTCACAATCGGCGGGAACATCACGCCGCGAAGTTACCGTTTCCGTTGGCTTCGCCAACAGCGAGATGGGCAAAAGTGTGTTCGAGAAGAACGAACAGATACCGGTGGTCCATGAATTCATCAGCTCTTGTTTCGACGTGTCGGTGCCGGACACTTTAAGGGCAAGCTACATTTACCTGAAGGTTGACAATGACTATGCAGCATGGTCTAAGGTCCGCGTTGAGCCCAAGGTACTAGTAACTCTGGTGCAGACGGACAAGGCCAAATACCGACCTGGCCAAACGGTCAAGCTGCGAGTTCTCTCGCTTCGTCAGGACTTCACGGCACTCGACGATACTATCAAGGAGATTTGGATAACGGCGCCCGAGGGCGCCCGGCTGGCGCAGTGGCTCGACGTTCGGATGGACGTCGGCCTCGTGCAGAAAGAGTTCCAGCTGACCCAGGAGCCGCCGCTGGGCCGCTGGACGATCCACGTGCGCCGCGATGACGGTTCCATCACCAAGCAGTCGTTCGATGTAGAGGAGTTCGTGCCTCCCAGATTTGAGTTGAACGTCAACGTGCCTGGAGTCTTTTTCCGTGACTCGCGAGTGCTCACTGTTAAAGTCTGCGCCAAGTACACGTTCGGAAAGCCTCTGGTGGCTGCTGATGTTCGCCTGCTTATCACAAGTAAGGAGCCGAATGCATTTCGACAACGGACCTCAGGAATGGGCCAGAACAAGTATTCACAGAAGACTGACGGTCAAGGTTGCACATCAGTCCACGTTTCTATCTCAAGACTTCACAGCTCATCGGATATTCCTCGTCATATAACGCAATATAAAGTATCGACAAACGTGACTGAAGCAAGTACAGGCATCAGCCAACTAGTAGAGATGACTGTGTCCGTCAAAAACACTAAACTGTTTAAGGTAATCAAGGACGAATCACCCAAGTTTATCAAACCAGGTTTGGACTACTATGGGACGGTCCGTTTTGAAAGACAAGATAGCTCCCCAGTCACAAACGAACGAGTAGAAATCTGCCACACCGTCTATTATTATCGAGAAACAGCAAAGTGGTCCTATAAACATCCGCCCATTATGAAAAATGCTAACACTGACTCCTTCCGTGAGAAATGCAGCATCTACCGGACAGATAACTCGGGGAGAGTGATCTACGTCGTCCCGGCGCAGAACAACGAGCTCGCCTACATAACACTCAAAGGACGCACCCTGGGAACCGAACAGCGTTTTTCGCTGCCCCTGGTACGCGCCTGGTATTCTCCGAGAAAATCGTTTCTGCTTATTGACGCCCGGGGTGTGCTGGGTGGCGTCAAGTGCGGTCAGACAGTCACAGTCGACGTAAAGCACAGCGCAGACTTCCGTGCCGAAGTCATGCGCTATTTGGTGCTGGCGCGCGGCGACATTGTCAGTGACGGGCCGGTGCACTCGAACTCAGTGAGGATTGTGATCAACTCCCGAATGGCACCTTCGTTCCGTCTTCTGGTGTACGCTATCGGCGACCAGAGAGATGAAGTGGTCGCCGATTCCAGAGTCATCCGCGTGGCACCTTGTCTTCCAAATAAAGTATCGGTGTCGTGGAGCGCGGCGCAGGTCAGGCCAGGGGACACCGCCTCCCTGACGGTCACTGGGTCGCCCGGCTCGCTCTGCGGAGTGGACGCGGTGGACCGCAGTGCCCAGCTGCTGGGCACCTCCAACACGGTCAGCGTCGGCAAGGTGTTCAGTCAGGTGTCACGACTGATTATAGGGGAGAAGGCACTGCCGAGACTGGTGCAACCTTCCTACAAGTATTGCTCGGGAGTTCCCATCAGATACATATCCAGTAAGAAGCCATCATGTCCGCCTCACCTTACAAGTAATCCAGGACGCGGCCGAAATACGATTGGCGTGGAGATTCCGTATGTAGAAAAGAGAATTGAGGCTTACATGGATGAACGCGAAGATTCAGTAGCTGCCTTCGACATGGCGGGCCTTCTAGCGGTGACCAGGCTAGATCTACAGACGCGGCCTTGTGTTGAGCGCATCGTTACCGTTACGAGGTACATATACTGCTATCCAAAGGATGTTAAGCACGACACTGGAGTTACAATGAATGGGGATGTCCAGGCAGAAACGAATTTAGAGAATTCCGGAGCAGTGTCACAGATCGAAGGCGACAGTTCTCTAGACACTCGGAACACACGAGGAAGTTCAATTTCGACACAAGGTGAGAGCCATGCATCACCAGCAGCTTCAAATGTGATAGCTGCAGATAGCCAGGCAGATAGCCACAGTCAACGCCGTGATATAATTGGTGTACGTGCTTCGCCAAAAACGTCGTCAGCCATCCAACGTTCTGTGGCGAGGAGTGATAACGAAATAATGGGAGTCTCTCGCCCGAAGAGCATCTCACGAAAGGTTGATATCGACACGCAAATAACAAAGGTTAAGACTGAAGATGAGACATCCGAATCGATCGAGCCGGTCGTTCGATATTTCTTCCCCGAAACGTTTATATTCCAGCTGCATGCTCTAAATTCATCGGGCCAGATTCGGCTCACTCAGCAGCTTCCTGACTCTATTACCAGGTGGATAGGCTCGGCGGTTTGCTCCAATCGCCAAGTGGGACTGGGACTATCTGGACAATCATCAATAAAAGTATTCAAACCGTTTTTTGCAGAAATAAATGTGCCCTATTCGGTAAAACGTGGAGAGCTACTGCAGCTCAAAGCTTCTGTCTTCAATTTCCTCCATACACAGCTTTCGGTGGTTTTGCGACTTGAGGAAATTCCCGGCGTGCAGCTGCAGGGCCAGCGTGAGAGCGCGCTGTGCGTTGGCACCGACCAGCCGTCAGTGAGCACGTTCCCGGTGCTGTTCACCGAGCTGGGCCAGCGCAGTCTGGTGGTGTCCGTCAGAGCCACCGGCGCGGCGTGCGGCAGGCCCAACGACATCGGCGTCCAGAGTGATGCTCTAGTGCGCGACATCCTGGTGAAGCCAGAGGGCTTTCCGCAAGAGGAGGCTCTGACGGAACGAGTCTGTGCAAAGGAGGGTGGCTCCAACACGCATGTGTTCGAACTGGGCTTCTCGCCGCGAGTGGTTCCCGGCTCGTCGCGGGCGGTGGTCTCCATCTGCGGCGATCCTCTTGGACAGGCCATCACCCAGCTGACCGGACTGGAGAGCCTCGTCAAGGTGCCTCATGGGTGCGGCGAGCAAAACATGGTCTATCTTGTTCCCAACATCCTGGTCCATCAGTACATGAAAGCCAAAGACATTCTCAGTGCTGAGCTGAAGAAGAAAACTGTCGATAACATGCTGAGCGGCTACCAGCGGCAGCTGAGGTATCGCCACTCGGACGGCTCGTACTCGGCGTTCGGAGAGAGCCGCTGGCGCCGCACTCAGGGCTCCCTCTGGCTGACCGTGTACGTGATGCGCTGGTTCGCGGTGGCCAGCAAGCTGGTGCCGATCGACGCCGAGGACCTGGCCGCCAGTCGCCGCTGGGTGGGGCAGCACCAGCGCAGCGACGGATGCTTCAACCGTGTCGGCTGGCTGTACGACAAGGCGATGAGCGGCGGCGTGGCCGACGGCGGCCGGCTGGCGCTCACTGCATTCACCGTGTTGGCGCTGCTGGAGGCCGATTCGGGCTCGGCGGCGCTGCGCCGCGCTGTCCGCTGTCTGCGCGACGGCACGCCCAGCGGCCTCTACGCTCAGGTGCTGGTGGCGCACGCCCTGCTGGAGGCCGGTGAGAGGGCGGCGGCGGAGGCGGCCGTGCCAGGCCTGCTGCGTCGAGCCGTGCGCGGCGAGGACTCACTCCACTGGCGTTCGGGACGTTCCAGCCGCTGGAGCGGCAGCAGCGCGCTGGACGTGGAGATCACCGCCTACATGACGCTGACGCTGCTGCGACTGGGAGGCCACGAGACGGACGTCGCCGCGGCCGTCCGCTGGCTGGACCGGCGCCGCAACGGCCACGGTGGCTGGTGTCCACGCAGGACAACGGTGGTGGGCAGCTGCAGCGGCCGCAGCTCGGCCTGCTGGTGCAGCAGCCGTTGCTGGCCGTCACCTGGAACTGGCGTCGGAACGTGTTGCCCAGGTGACGGTGACGTCCACCTTGTGCGCCTTCAGCTCGTTGGAGCGCCGCTCGACAGCCACCAGCGCCGACAGCGCCACCACCGTGTCCTGCGTGGACACCCAGCCACCGTGGCCGTTGCGGCGCCGGTCCAGCCAGCGGACGGCCGCGGCGACGTCCGTCTCGTGGCCTCCCAGTCGCAGCAGCGTCAGCGTCATGTAGGCGGTGATCTCCACGTCCAGCGCGCTGCTGCCGCTCCAGCGGCTGGAACGTCCCGAACGCCAGTGGAGTGAGTCCTCGCCGCGCACGGCTCGACGCAGCAGGCCTGGCACGGCCGCCTCCGCCGCCGCCCTCTCACCGGCCTCCAGCAGGGCGTGCGCCACCAGCACCTGAGCGTAGAGGCCGCTGGGCGTGCCGTCGCGCAGACAGCGGACAGCGCGGCGCAGCGCCGCCGAGCCCGAATCGGCCTCCAGCAGCGCCAACACGGTGAATGCAGTGAGCGCCAGCCGGCCGCCGTCGGCCACGCCGCCGCTCATCGCCTTGTCGTACAGCCAGCCGACACGGTTGAAGCATCCGTCGCTGCGCTGGTGCTGCCCCACCCAGCGGCGACTGGCGGCCAGGTCCTCGGCGTCGATCGGCACCAGCTTGCTGGCCACCGCGAACCAGCGCATCACGTACACGGTCAGCCAGAGGGAGCCCTGAGTGCGGCGCCAGCGGCTCTCTCCGAACGCCGAGTACGAGCCGTCCGAGTGGCGATACCTCAGCTGCCGCTGGTAGCCGCTCAGCATGTTATCGACAGTTTTCTTCTTCAGCTCAGCACTGAGAATGTCTTTGGCTTTCATGTACTGATGGACCAGGATGTTGGGAACAAGATAGACCATGTTTTGCTCGCCGCACCCATGAGGCACCTTGACGAGGCTCTCCAGTCCGGTCAGCTGGGTGATGGCCTGTCCAAGAGGATCGCCGCAGATGGAGACCACCGCCCGCGACGAGCCGGGAACCACTCGCGGCGAGAAGCCCAGTTCGAACACATGCGTGTTGGAGCCACCCTCCTTTGCACAGACTCGTTCCGTCAGAGCCTCCTCTTGCGGAAAGCCCTCTGGCTTCACCAGGATGTCGCGCACTAGAGCATCACTCTGGACGCCGATGTCGTTGGGCCTGCCGCACGCCGCGCCGGTGGCTCTGACGGACACCACCAGACTGCGCTGGCCCAGCTCGGTGAACAGCACCGGGAACGTGCTCACTGACGGCTGGTCGGTGCCAACGCACAGCGCGCTCTCACGCTGGCCCTGCAGCTGCACGCCGGGAATTTCCTCAAGTCGCAAAACCACCGAAAGCTGTGTATGGAGGAAATTGAAGACAGAAGCTTTGAGCTGCAGTAGCTCTCCACGTTTTACCGAATAGGGCACATTTATTTCTGCAAAAAACGGTTTGAATACTTTTATTGATGATTGTCCAGATAGTCCCAGTCCCACTTGGCGATTGGAGCAAACCGCCGAGCCTATCCACCTGGTAATAGAGTCAGGAAGCTGCTGAGTGAGCCGAATCTGGCCCGATGAATTTAGAGCATGCAGCTGGAATATAAACGTTTCGGGGAAGAAATATCGAACGACCGGCTCGATCGATTCGGATGTCTCATCTTCAGTCTTAACCTTTGTTATTTGCGTGTCGATATCAACCTTTCGTGAGATGCTCTTCGGGCGAGAGACTCCCATTATTTCGTTATCACTCCTCGCCACAGAACGTTGGATGGCTGACGACGTTTTTGGCGAAGCACGTACACCAATTATATCACGGCGTTGACTGTGGCTATCTGCCTGGCTATCTGCAGCTATCACATTTGAAGCTGCTGGTGATGCATGGCTCTCACCTTGTGTCGAAATTGAACTTCCTCGTGTGTTCCGAGTGTCTAGAGAACTGTCGCCTTCGATCTGTGACACTGCTCCGGAATTCTCTAAATTCGTTTCTGCCTGGACATCCCCATTCATTGTAACTCCAGTGTCGTGCTTAACATCCTTTGGATAGCAGTATATGTACCTCGTAACGGTAACGATGCGCTCAACACAAGGCCGCGTCTGTAGATCTAGCCTGGTCACCGCTAGAAGGCCCGCCATGTCGAAGGCAGCTACTGAATCTTCGCGTTCATCCATGTAAGCCTCAATTCTCTTTTCTACATACGGAATCTCCACGCCAATCGTATTTCGGCCGCGTCCTGGATTACTTGTAAGGTGAGGCGGACATGATGGCTTCTTACTGGATATGTATCTGATGGGAACTCCCGAGCAATACTTGTAGGAAGGTTGCACCAGTCTCGGCAGTGCCTTCTCCCCTATAATCAGTCGTGACACCTGACTGAACACCTTGCCGACGCTGACCGTGTTGGAGGTGCCCAGCAGCTGGGCACTGCGGTCCACCGCGTCCACTCCGCAGAGCGAGCCGGGCGACCCAGTGACCGTCAGGGAGGCGGTGTCCCCTGGCCTGACCTGCGCCGCGCTCCACGACACCGATACTTTATTTGGAAGACAAGGTGCCACGCGGATGACTCTGGAATCGGCGACCACTTCATCTCTCTGGTCGCCGATAGCGTACACCAGAAGACGGAACGAAGGTGCCATTCGGGAGTTGATCACAATCCTCACTGAGTTCGAGTGCACCGGCCCGTCACTGACAATGTCGCCGCGCGCCAGCACCAAATAGCGCATGACTTCGGCACGGAAGTCTGCGCTGTGCTTTACGTCGACTGTGACTGTCTGACCGCACTTGACGCCACCCAGCACACCCCGGGCGTCAATAAGCAGAAACGATTTTCTCGGAGAATACCAGGCGCGTACCAGGGGCAGCGAAAAACGCTGTTCGGTTCCCAGGGTGCGTCCTTTGAGTGTTATGTAGGCGAGCTCGTTGTTCTGCGCCGGGACGACGTAGATCACTCTCCCCGAGTTATCTGTCCGGTAGATGCTGCATTTCTCACGGAAGGAGTCAGTGTTAGCATTTTTCATAATGGGCGGATGTTTATAGGACCACTTTGCTGTTTCTCGATAATAATAGACGGTGTGGCAGATTTCTACTCGTTCGTTTGTGACTGGGGAGCTATCTTGTCTTTCAAAACGGACCGTCCCATAGTAGTCCAAACCTGGTTTGATAAACTTGGGTGATTCGTCCTTGATTACCTTAAACAGTTTAGTGTTTTTGACGGACACAGTCATCTCTACTAGTTGGCTGATGCCTGTACTTGCTTCAGTCACGTTTGTCGATACTTTATATTGCGTTATATGACGAGGAATATCCGATGAGCTGTGAAGTCTTGAGATAGAAACGTGGACTGATGTGCAACCTTGACCGTCAGTCTTCTGTGAATACTTGTTCTGGCCCATTCCTGAGGTCCGTTGTCGAAATGCATTCGGCTCCTTACTTGTGATAAGCAGGCGAACATCAGCAGCCACCAGAGGCTTTCCGAACGTGTACTTGGCGCAGACTTTAACAGTGAGCACTCGCGAGTCACGGAAAAAGACTCCAGGCACGTTGACGTTCAACTCAAATCTGGGAGGCACGAACTCCTCTACATCGAACGACTGCTTGGTGATGGAACCGTCATCGCGGCGCACGTGGATCGTCCAGCGGCCCAGCGGCGGCTCCTGGGTCAGCTGGAACTCTTTCTGCACGAGGCCGACGTCCATCCGAACGTCGAGCCACTGCGCCAGCCGGGCGCCCTCGGGCGCCGTTATCCAAATCTCCTTGATAGTATCGTCGAGTGCCGTGAAGTCCTGACGAAGCGAGAGAACTCGCAGCTTGACCGTTTGGCCAGGTCGGTATTTGGCCTTGTCCGTCTGCACCAGAGTTACTAGTACCTTGGGCTCAACGCGGACCTTAGACCATGCTGCATAGTCATTGTCAACCTTCAGGTAAATGTAGCTTGCCCTTAAAGTGTCCGGCACCGACACGTCGAAACAAGAGCTGATGAATTCATGGACCACCGGTATCTGTTCGTTCTTCTCGAACACACTTTTGCCCATCTCGCTGTTGGCGAAGCCAACGGAAACGGTAACTTCGCGGCGTGATGTTCCCGCCGATTGTGACGAGGAGGGAGCACTGCTGATGGTCGACCGTGCTGGCTTCCTATCGGCTGCCTGGCGTCTACTGCGGGTAAGCCGCAGTGGAAGCCGGGCCTCTTCACGCGGATGATCGGATAGCTGGTCTTGCGTGGCTTTGAACTTGTTATCAATTTTATTGTCTTTGATCGCGGTACTAAATTCAGTGTTTCTGATCGCTTTATCCAAGTTAATGTCTCGGAGCAGGTCCCCACGGCCAACACGACTGAAACCGATCCTCTTTCGTCGTTCCTCCGTCTTCCGGAAGTCGATGTCGAACGCGGTGACGCAGACCCTCTCCTCGGATCCAGCTCGCCAAACCTTCGGCGCCACCAGCAGCTTGCCTCTGATCGCGTAGGAGACGGCACCGGAGGCCTGGAGCAGCAGCAGCAGCAGCAGTGGCAGCAGCAGCGATGGGGGCAGTCTCGGGCACGCCATGTTCAGCCGCTCCGATCGCGCGGGGAACAGTGAGGTGCCAGTACGGCCCGGTCAGCTCGTTCCCTCGCCACGCGGGTGTGACGGACGGTGTCACCGGTGAGCTGCGCTGACGTGACGGTCACCCCTGCAAATGTCACGTGTATCCTGGCCGCGCTGACGGTCGGGGACGGCCAGCCTGTCACAGCCGTCGAGCGACCCTGTGGTCAGCCGCGACAGAAGGTCAACGGAGGCGACCATCGTCATCATCAGGCGGTCATCAGGCGACCATCACCCCATTGCGATCTGTCGGATGGTCAACGGAGCGCGTGGCAAGCCCGCTGTGTTTGTTGCATCATTCACGTGGTCATAGATATAATTATCTCCGGGAGCATCATTGTGTGGACGAT